GTGTTTCCTGTTGTCAGAATACCTCCCTGTCTGAATCTTCTGCTTTTTAATGATGATCGGCCATTTGGCTTTTCTCTGGCAAGCTCATAAGCAGCTTCGTGTATAGTATATATTGTATAGTGTATATATACTCTGTGCTGGTTAGACCCCACATGCAGTGCTGCACCCTGCCCTGGGGTCTGCAGCACAGGAAAGACATCAACCTGTAGGAGCGAGTCCAAGGGCCACCAAGTCGATTAGAGGGATGGAGCACCTCTGCTGTGAGGAAAAGCTGAGAGAATTGGGATTGTTCAGCCTAGAGAAGAGAAGGCTCTGGGGTGACCTAGTTGTAGCCTTCCAGTACGTGAAGGGGCCTACAGGAAAAATGGAGAGAGACTATTTACAAGGGTTTGTAGTGACAGGACAAGGGGGAATGGCTTTAAACTGACAGAGGGCCAATTTAGATTGGAAATTAGGAAGAAATTCTTTACTGTGAGGGTGGTAAGGCACTGGCACAGGTTGCCCAGAGAAGCTGTAAATGCCCCATCCCTGGAAGTGTTTAAGGCCATGTTGGATGTGACTTACAGAAACCTGGTCTAGTGGAAGGTGTCTCTGCCCATGGCAGGGGCATTGTAACTAGATGATCTTTAAAGGTCCCTTCCAACCCAAACCATACTATGCGTCTGTGATAGTGCAGTCAAGGTTTTCCAACTGACCTATACCCACTCAGTGTTACTGTGATTTGATTTTTCAGTGTGAAGTTCATTACCAATGCTTTTTCACATTTTCTTTTGTAATGCTGCAAGAAATTGCCTTGAACTTTAGCTAAGCAATGTTTATCCTTTGTCTATTTTTGGTTGCACAAATAAGTTACTCTGATTTGGGTTTGAGAATGCTTTTCTCTATAATTTTGTCCCTGTTAGGGTGTTCAGGCACTGGAATAGGTTTCCCAGGGAGGTGGTTGAGTCACCATCCCTGGAGATGTTTAAGAAGTGTCTGGATCTGGTGCTGGAGGATATGGTTTGGGGAAGACATTCTTAGCTGTGAGGTTGATGAGGCACTGGCACAGGTTGCCCAGAGAAGCTGTAAATGCCCCATCCCTGGAAGTGTTTAAGGCCATGTTGGATGTGACTTACAGAAACCTGGTCTAGTGGAAGGTGTCTCTGCCCATGGCAGGGGCATTGTAACTAGATGATCTTTAAAGGTCCCTTCCAACCCAAACCATACTATGCGTCTGTGATAGTGCAGTCAAGGTTTTCCAACTGACCTATACCCACTCAGTGTTACTGTGATTTGATTTTTCAGTGTGAAGTTCATTACCAATGCTTTTTCACATTTTCTTTTGTAATGCTGCAAGAAATTGCCTTGAACTTTAGCTAAGCAATGTTTATCCTTTGTCTATTTTTGGTTGCACAAATAAGTTACTCTGATTTGGGTTTGAGAATGCTTTTCTCTATAATTTTGTCCCTGTTAGGGTGTTCAGGCACTGGAATAGGTTTCCCAGGGAGGTGGTTGAGTCACCATCCCTGGAGATGTTTAAGAAGTGTCTGGATCTGGTGCTGGAGGATATGGTTTGATGATTTTGTGATTCTGTAACCCCTTGCTGACCATCTCTGTTTTCTCCATATGGTTTTCTGTTCATGTGCAATTCGGGAAAGGAATGAATTATCCTGTTGTAATACACTAAACAAAGTAATCTTTTCCTGAAATTCCATTTTTCTCAGTAGTGATTCAAGTGTTAATTTTGGGTGCTACTTCTTTCTCACTGTCCATGAGTTAATTATCCTTGCTTCTTTCTGCAGTGACTGTTGCTGCTTATGCGAGTGTTGTTTCTCTAAAACTTACCTTTATTAATTTTTATAATTTTTCACATTTAACTTGCCTTCACTTGGAATTTTTGTTTTGTCCATTTTTTTGTCTACCTTCTGCTGTTTAAGATGAGGGCTGTAGATTGTACTAGTCCCCCTAGTAGTTTCCCTTACAGAGTAGTTTCTCTTGTGGCCAAGGAGGACAGAATTACCCACAGAGTTTTCTTTGCCATTTCCATTTGGGTTTAGTATTCTTTCATTCATTTTAAGCTCAACACTGTGTCTGTTATGCAGATGTCCTCATAGCTTGAATAGTTAAGTATACCAATGTCAGCAACTTCTGCATGGGTGTTTTTTTTCTTGGAAAGAAGAATGAGATTAAACCCCATCTAAACTAATAGTATTACCTGACAACTTGCTCTGTTTCCTTAGTCATTTTGAAGAGTTGTTCTTAAATTTAGGAAAACCTAAGTGAGACTATTCAGAGATCCTTGCAAGTAGTTTGTGTTAAATATTTCATGTAGTATGTGGGGAGTTGTAGTATGTGGTTGTCCTTGGTGACTGATGATAATTGGTTCTAAGGATGTTGTTTCCTTTACAGAACTCTGAGGATGTCCGATGTAAGTGCATCTGCCCTCCCTACAAGGACCACTCAGGCCACATTTACAACAAAAACGTTTCACAGAAAGACTGGTGAGTGTGTGGGGCACACAGAGCTGCGATGAGCCTTACTCATTGGAGACGTGTTTTGTAGTGATTATATGTGAATCTCCTGTGGTGGTGTCAGGAGAAATTAGATCTCTTGTGTAACTTACTGGAACTTTTGATTCAAAAGTACTCCAGCATTCAGCTGTAGCAAGGGACAAGGCTTGAATTCCAAATTTTATGCCCTGTCTTCTGTTTTAGTTTGCTTGCTTGCATGCTTAGTGGCTTATTTAGAAGTAGTAGAAGGGAAGAAGGTGGTGTATTTTGAATCCAGTGATTTGAAATGGTGTAAAGGCCAGGGATCACAGACCTGGAACTCAGAAGTATTGTCTCCACTTGCTCCACTCTTGAAACCCTTCCTATCGTTTAGAGACTGTTGTTTCTGGAGTTTTGTGTTCTTCAGAGTTGCAGCCAGAGAGTGCAGTTAATATGACACAACCTGAGCCACCTAACAACACATTATTTTCAGAGAGAGTGGTTTTGCATCTCTGTGCCCCAGCAATGTGTTCTACTGCACTGTTTAGGCCAGCTATGGCATATGCCAGATTCTTCTCCAAGCTGAGGCATTATGTGCCTGGCCATGGATGAGGGGTGGGGGAAGAAAGGGAGCTGACAGTGACTTATTACACTGGCACTGTGTAACTTCACCTTGAGTATCATTGCCTATGTGAATCATACAATTAAAACACCAGTTGTGTTCTTGGAAGTGCTCAGAGGTTCTTAGGTCAGCCTGTAAAAATGTGACATACTTCTTGATGTACTGACTCTTCAGTTACATTAAGTGTTTATAAAAAACTCTTCAGTCTGAGGAGTAGCAGCAAGTTGGCATCTTGATTATGAAAATTTCATGCTCCTGAGTAGGCCCATAAAAATAATTACAGGAATGAAATTAGTAATAGAGATCTGTAGAGCTGTGCCTTGACTTATTAAATTACTTACAGAAGCACTGTGAGAAACAACACTAAATTTCAATCTGAATTCATAAACATAAAATGTACTGTCCAGCCAAAATTGCTGGTTTTTTTCCCAGATGATTAACTTAACATTAGTCTTACTATGACTAATTAAGTTGCAGCAATGAGACATACTGGAAGAATTGCAGCTGCAGCAAGCATTTGAGTAGCAGTTTTTATTGTAATTATTGCTCTAGAAATGAAAATGGATTTTTTTTTTGGTGGGCACTCCTTAATATGGGCCTTACTAGCAGAAAATGCCCTGGTTCCCTGTAAGTCAATATTCCAAAAAAAATGCTGATTGAAAATGATCTTTGAAGGCTTGACTAATTTTGTGATGACAGGTGCTGTGAATACAAAATGTAGAACATGTATTTTTAATCTTAAAGCTTGCTTTATCTTAAATAAAAATAAAATCTTGTCTATCTTAAATCTTGTTTTGTTGATTGAACCTCAACTGCATGAGGTTCAATAAGGCTCTGAAGGCTTGACTAATTTTGTGATGACAGGTGCTGTGAATACAAAATGTAGAACATGTATTTTTAATCTTAAAGCTTGCTTTATCTTAAATAAAAATAAAATCTTGTCTATCTTAAATCTTGTTTTGTTGATTGAACCTCAACTGCATGAGGTTCAATAAGGCTCAGTGCTGGTCCTGCACTGGGGACACAACAACCCTATGCAGCTACAGGCTGGGGGAGGAGTGACTCAAGAGTTGTTTGTCAGAAAGGGACTTGGCAGTGCTGGTGACTGTGGCTCAATATGAGCCAACAGTGTGCACAGGTGGCTGAGAAGGCCAATGGCATCTTGGCCTGTATTAAGAAGAATGTGGCACCAGGACTAGGGCAGTGATCATCCCCCTGTATTCAGCACTGGTGAGGTCAGATCTCGAGTGCTGTGTTCAGCTTTGGGCCTCTCACTTTAAAAAGGACATTGAGGTGTGGGAGTGAGTCCAGCCAAGGGCAACAGGGGCAGAAAAGGCCTAGAACACGAGGAAGGGCTGAGGGAGTTGGGTTTGTTTAGTCGTGAGAAGAGGCTCAGGGGTGACCTCATGGCTCTCTACAACTCCCTGACAGGGGTTGTAGAGAGGTGGGGGATGGTCTCTCCTGCCATGGCTGCAGGGAGAGGATTAGAGAGAATGGCCATAAGTTACTACAGGGAAAATTCAGATTAGATGTTAGGAAAAATGTTTTCCCTGTTTGGGTGGTCAGGCACTGGAATAGGTTGCCCAGGGAGGTGGTGAAGTCACCATCCCTGGGAGGGTTTAAGAGACATCTGGATCTGATGCTGGAGATATGGTTTAGGGGTTATGGCAGTGACAGGTTAATGGTCAGACCTGATGATCTTAGAGGTCTCCTCCAACCTTGATGATTCTATGGTATCATTTTGTAAGTGACCATCTGGGAACCCTTTATGGCTTTGATCTTCTGTTCAAGATGTCTTCTTGCCACTTTTAAAAGACTTGATTGCTAGTTTATGTGCAATAAAATCAACAAATTCAGTGCCATACTTTGGCTTCTGCACCTGTGCAAGTGATCAGTTATTGGATAGAACTGGCTGATGTTCATCATCCTGTAGGCATTTAGATCAGTTAGTCATGAGACAAACCAGATCAATTTTTAATGTCTTTATGAATTATGTATGGTATAATGACCACTTACTGCTGGTTTGTCCAGACATAAAGTGAAAATTTAATGTTGAGCCTGTAATGTGTATCATGACGCTCTTTATTTAGATATTTCAGTTCTGTCACTTGTAGTGGTCTGTCCTTTGGCTTCAGGCTGGCAAATGGTGAACACTGATGTGGGCTGGGAAGCTTGGACACTACTGAAAGCGTTAACTCTTGGGTTGGGAACTGTTGGATGCGATTCTGTCCTGTACTGGGCAAGCAGAGTGATGCCTAAGTGCCTACAGGTTTAAATAACCCCCTTCCAAAGCACAAACAGCAGTGCTTTCCAGGCATTGGTGTAGAGAGGGCTACAGTGGTATCATAGATGTGGAGGGAGGGAGGGAGGGTGCCTTGTCTATGAGCTGAGTGAACTGGGAACCTGTCTGTGCAGGACCTGCCCTTCTGAGTAGCCCAGTTTGCCTTGGAAGAACTAATTCCTTGGTGCTGTTACTGTGTGTGCAATGGAGAAGGTGGTAATGTAGAGGCAGGTGAGTGGGAAAATTGTTGAGAAAAGTATCAGGTTTTTCTGTATTGTCCTTTAAAATTGATATGAAATCACAGTCCAAGGAAACACGTGATCAAGATTGAGGTTCTGATAGATTTTGTACTTCCTAGTAACTTGAAACAGTGAACTGGAGAAGAAAAATGCCATTATCAATATTTTTTATATTTTCAGTAGCGAACTTACTACTGTGCTGTAGTTGTTTTGTGTGGCCAGGTTTTTGGCAGTGGGGGGGGCCTATAGGGGTGACTTCTATGAGAAACTGCTAGAAGCTTCCCCCTGTTCAGCAGAGCTAATGCAGCAGGGCCAGGACAGACCTAGCACTGCAGCAAGGCTGAGCCCATCAGTGGTGGCAGCAATGCCTCTGGGATAACAGATGTAAGAAGGAAAGAAAGTTTTTGTGCAGAGGTAATCGTGGCCAGAGAAGAGAGGAGTGAGAATATGTGAGAGGAACAACTATGGAGACACCAAAGTCAGTGCAGGAGGAAGGGGGAGGATGTGCTCCAGGTGTTAATTAATCCCTGCAGCCTATGGTGAAGACCATGGTGGAGCAGTTTAGATTCATATCCTTGGACTTGTTCTACTAACAGCTTTAGTACTTTCAGTGAAAAGTGAAAACACTGTATTGAGTTAGAAAGGTCTTAAAACTTGTTTAGCAGCTTGTCAATAGCTGATTTTCTTGTTTAAGTGAAATAATTGTGGAGTAGTGTTTTATTTATTTATTTTACATCTTGCATACCTACAATTTAGAACAGCTGAACTTAAGCCAAGGTGGCTTCTCAGCTCTTGCAGCATAGTGGAATGGCCAAGTTAAAACCAGCACAAAACTGACTGGACAGTTTCTGTCTTCAGTGATTGTCTTCATGTGGTGGAGCCTATGCCTGTCCCTGGACCTGATGTAGAAGCATACTGTTTGCGTTGTGAGTGCAAGTATGAAGAGAGAAGCTCTGTCACAATTAAGGTAAGCAATGGAATTTTGTTGACATATATTAAATACTTCACCTGTTTAATAAATATGTCTGTTCTCTTTTAGAGAAATACTCTTTGTAAAGGGAAAACTTTCCTGAAGCAGCCTAAGATTTAACTTCTCTTATAATAGTTGTTCACAATTTATCTTGAGTAGTAGCAATAGCATCAAGCTATAGCTGAAGAATTGAGCTTGAGACCCTTTATTGAAGACCTCTCCTCTTGAGATTAGGCTAAAGCCTAACATCTTGCTGAGATTCAGTGTTCTAAGGCATTTTGTCAGGCTTTGGGCTTTGTTTTCCTTATTGTTTTAGTGTGCCTCTCATTACACAGCTGCCTTACTTGCTCACTGTAAATTTTCTTTATACATTGGCAAGCTAAACAGAACAAAATTGTCCTTGTTTGTTCTAACAGGTGTTTTCTTGTTCTTCACATTCTTATCCTATTTGAGCCATTGAGTCCTGCATTGGCTTGTATGGATTGTGCAGTGTATCTTTTGGTATTTGATAACACAGACTACCTTTTTTGGTATTTTAGAAGTTTGCTCTTTTGTTTTGCTTTCCTGTTTTGCTTATTGACTTTTTGGATGCAGATCTGTGATAGAGAATGGAGATCATTGAGTGACCTCCCCCCACCCCTTTGTTTAATGGCCAGTTGTCTTGATTGAGGTGAGATTTACAACACTGAGTTAAGAGGGATAGCATAAGACTTTTAGCAAGGTCTCACTAAGAGGAAATATTTCAAGCTAGCATATGTCTGCCCCAAACCCTTTTAATACCAGGTTGTAATTTGTCACTTTTCTTCTTTTCATGGATTTTAAGTCATCTGGTGAAACTACCAAAGATCAAACTTTGTGTGTACTCTTCTTTTGGTCCTTGCTGCCTGTTGTGAGTTTGTGGGGGAATGTCACAATCCTGGCATAAACTGTGTTTGCATTCTATAGGTTACAATCATCATATACCTGTCTATTTTGGGCATACTTCTTCTGTACATGGTGTACCTTACACTGGTGGAACCTATACTGAAGAGACGTCTGTTTGGACATTCACAGCTCATACAAAGTGATGAAGACATAGGGGTGAGTTCACCAGGGTTTGTGTACGTGGCTAATGTAGAGACTGGGGTGGTGGAAGAAGTGAAATAAGTCCCATGGCAGAGAAAGAGATTTGCCTTAAAATCTGTATCCACCTTAACCAATGTCATGTTTTGCTGTAGCTTTTTCTGTGAACATTACCTGTGCCTGTGGAGTGACTAGTGCTTATACCTGCAGTAATGCTTGGAACATAAGATCCCTCATGAATTATCCCCATCCTTGCCTTCCCTCTTGATAAATTCTTAAAGTATTCTTGTCACACTTTGGAAATATGATGTGCATTGATTTTGTTGCTGGATTTCAAGACAGTATGTTTGTTCTTTCTCATTGCCCAATGATGACAGTGGCAACTGGTGGACATAAGCTGCTTCTCTGTAGGCCTCTTTCCTCTAAAATACTTTTTTCTCCTTGTTGTCTACATAGAAATTGACTGCTGAGATTGAGCTGAGATTCTTGTTTCTAAGGGAGGCCAGTGCCACCCAGCTTGTCCTGTGCTCTCCCACCACGTGTTTTATGGTAGAAATGTCCTGCTATTGTGATTTTGTTTCCTTGTGAATTGAGTGATTTGTCACCTGTTAAGTGCCCATTCTAGGTATATCCAACTGTGTAATTGTTTTATGGTGAGATTATAGCTCTTTTCATCAGGGATTGTCTCTTCCCATCTATAAGCATGTTTTTTTTGAGGCTCACGTGGCTTTGGGCCCTGTAGGCATCACTTCAGTGGGTATCATTAATAGTCTGCCATGGCTGCAGGGAGAGGACTAGAGGGAATGGCCATGAGCTGAGCCAGGAGAGAGTCAGATTAGATGTTAGGAAGAATGTTTTCACTGGTAGGGTGTTCAGGCACTGGAATAAGTTGCCCAGGGAGGTGGTGGAGTCACCATCCCTGGGAGTGTATAGAGGCATTTGGATCTGGTACTGGAGGATATGGTTTAGGGGTTACAACAGAGTGGCAGCTTAATGGTTGGACTCGATGATCTTAGAGGTCTTCTCCAACCCTGGTGGTTCTATGATATAGTGCTTTCTGACGTAATTTTAGCAGCATGACTTTGTTCAAAACAGTTTGATAGCCAAATAAGAAGTTCAATGTTAAACAAGCACGGGGTTCTTGTTGAGCTGTCCCTTAAACAGCTGTATTGACACTGTGCTTTTTAGACAGCTCAGGACAATAGGCTGAGTTTCGTAAACACCAGAGTGTGTTGGTTTTATATAGAAGCTGTATGTGAACATCCTGAACTGCCTGGCAGTAAATATCCTAGAGCTGGCAGAGAACTGACTCTTTAATTCAGTTTTGAAGTCAAGTGCATTCACAACAACAACTGGATGCTCTCAGTGCCTGAGTCTGTTCTAGGCTGCTGTCCCACCAGCTGCTAATGGATGCAAGATTGTGGTTCTGGTGCTGCAGCTCACCATGATGTCTCTGGGCAACAGATAATTGTTTGACAGTACAGTGAAGTGTGGTCTATTTGAAAACCTGTGGAAGTTACTGTGAATGAGAAATGGAAGTACAGTTCTAAGTATTCAAAAACTTGCTTGGTCATTATTCCTGACCAGCTTGTTTAAACAGCTTGTTTACCTTAAAAACGACAAAACCAAACCAAACCCCACATCACTTGGAATGCAGAAACACTAAGGACTAGTGTGGTGATTGCTGAGGTGTAACTGTTGGTTTTGCCATTCTAGGATCACCAGCCTTTCGCGAACGCCCATGACGTGCTGGCTCGCTCCCGCAGCCGTGCCAACGTGCTCAACAAGGTTGAGTATGCCCAGCAGCGCTGGAAGCTACAGGTCCAAGAGCAACGCAAATCTGTCTTTGACCGTCACGTGGTGCTGAGTTAACTGTCTCAGTAGCATAACTCGAGGGAAGTAAAGTGGACTAAGTGAAAGAGCTGATAGATGTCTTCCTGATCCTGCCAATTCAGAAGAGTTTTCTTGAATGATTCGTTATCGATTTTAAATAAACAAAGAAAACAAGTATTTGAACTTTGAAGGAATGTACTGGTGTGGAAGCAGTTTTAAAAGATTAGTTAACCAAAAGCTAAGATATTTGCATTTTCCAATGGCTTTGACTAATGAAACTGAAAACAAACCCTAAGACACCTTGGGTTGCCACCAGTGTACGTTATTTACAGTTGTGACTTGATGGTGTTTTTTAACTATATGTGTCTCTCTACTGTTCATGTGGTTAAAAAGTACCCGGGAACACAGTAATTACTTAGAAATCACTAATCACTTTATGTAAAGACCTTTTGTAAATACACTTGGATTTTCTCCTGATTAATGCTAGGTACTGGAAATCAAAGTCTTGCAGTGTAGTTTTTCAGGTCAGAGAATGAAATCCTGGTTGGCTGTATTCATCATTTGGTTTCTTGCACTCGTACTTTCAAGATGCTTGTATGTCAAGTGATGTCTGCAGATGAAAGACAAAACATAAATGGACACTGACTCTTTGAGCTGCATATTTAAAGTACTGTGATGTAGATAAACTCAAATGCAGTGCACATCAAGACAGTGTTGGCATTTTGTTCTATTTTGCTTTAATAGCTTAATATATTGTATGTGTATGATAGCTCTTAAAAATCTTGCCCTTTCTTTTCATGTGTGAAGTTTCGGTAATTAGTATATGATGAAATATTTATTATAACAATCTTCCTGCATTTGTCTCGGTTGATGGTGTAAGGCACATACTTTCTCTAGCACCTGTCAGCTTGAGAGTTAGGTGTATTTTTTTATTCATGACTCTGTACTCATCTCTCTTAAGAGGTTTACAGTTGCTAGATGACTAACTTTCATATATCCCCTTTGGAATGTAACAATTAAAGATAAAACTGATTTTTGAAAAATAGATCTGCATTATTGGTTTGTTACTATTTTTTTCCCCTCATTATTTGACACAGCATGTTTAAATCCCATCTGTAAAAGCACTTGTGCAGTGATTATGTAAAGAAAGGCTCATCAAACTGCTAATTGAAAGAAATTTTTAATCCCTGACTCAATTGTAGCTGTGCATCTGTAGTTACATAATAATGTCTGATACAGTTTTCAGTTCCAGTGTGGAAGGAAGCTACATGAAACAGTGCTGTACGTTGCTGGGTGCAGTTTTGGCTTGCTTAGTCCACAGCCTGGAGGACAGACTGTGCCTCTGCACATCAGGGGTGGAAACGCAGTTGTCCTCTAACAACTTCTGTATTGACTGAGCTCTTTTGCAAACACAGAGCTTCGTTCTTGTGTCAGTCCTGTAGCCTTCTGAAACAGTCCATTTGGGTGGATTTGTAGCAGGTGGCTAATTGGTGGATACACAGCATCCTTTAAATTAACAAAAAAAAGCTCAAGGATTGACAGGACAAGAAAAATAAATCCAGGCTTGGGTTCAGTTCGTGTGTTCAACATTCCCCACCCCAATGAATGTTGCTTTATTGATGCTCTTTCCCCTAGAGAAAAATAATGCTACTTGTCTGTTGAAGACATGCTGTCTACCAGTCCTAGCAGATGCTCTACCTCTTGGCTGCCTTTCCAAAGGCCTGAAGCTGGCATGGGAAGGAGGATGCCAGATACAGCATTGTGGTCTCTCACAAGGGGCAGCAGAAGCAGAATGTTTCCTTGATGGTTGATGGTCACAAGAAAATAAGACCGAGTGCATGTAGCTCTCTTGGTAGTAGATGAAGTGTGTCTAATCTCAGTGTCTTCTCAAAGTTTTAAACTAAACTGGATTTTTTTTGTGGTTTTGCTTGCATGGATAGATCCAATAGTGAGATAGTCTAAACTGCTAGGGCAATCCTGTAAAATGTGGGAATTTTGAAGATCAGTGTCCTATTTTCTTGGACCTGTCCAGTTGGATGTGGCATCTATATATGTGTATACATGGGATTATACAGACTGATTGCTCCATGCTGTGTCTCTTAAGTTTAAGCAGACCTTCAAAATGTTTGTCTTGCTACTGATTGCTCACTGTTTTAAAATCTTGTCTCTTCTTGTATATACTCACCTTTTATAGGGTGTTATACTTCTTAACACTAAGGGAATTTCCCAAAATTACAGGTAGAATGAAGTTTAAAAATGAGGCTATTAAGCTAACTAATATGTGTCCTCACCTCTAATGGAGACAAATCCATCACTAGTTTATTCTAAATAAATGCTGGTTTTGTGTGTTGAAAATGAAGCTATGAAAATTAGTTTGCTTATGCCCTGATGGTGGATATTTACCTAAACTCTAAATGATTGCTATATTTAGACTTAAAAGTACAAAGTGCTTAGTATTTTTGTTAGGAGCCTGCAGTAGTCTGCAACAGAATGCAAACAGGAAGCTAACAAAGTACGTTGCTGATTACTTTTTCAGGTAGTCTGGATATGTTCAATAACAGTTTCAAAATTTCTAGCCCTTAATGCCAAGTTTTGTTGCCATCATAGCTGTGGTGTGGGTGGAAAAGCCAAACCAGAAATGAGCAGATCTAACTGTAAGCTACTTTGCATGTTGTCAATTGACTATAAATTGCAGCAGTCATCGACTCAGTGGAACAAGCTACATAATTCAGGTAAGAGACTTGAATATTGCTGTTTCTAGCCACAGATCTTCACTGAATAGCAGTGTTTTTGTAAATCACTTCTACCAGCCATTCACTAACAGTGCTTCCATAGCTCTTTAATGAATCCTGTTTAATATGGTCTCTTATTCATGTTTTTTCTTTAATGTCATTCAGGTATTCATCACTCTTAAAATAACACGTCCTGTTTCCTTGGATTTTTGCTTTCATCTGAAGATTGGTGAGTCTCTAGTCTAAAAGGAAAATGTTCTTAACACTTGCATTTTGCACTTCGTGCAGGTAGTAAGGCAGCAGATAACTGTTTTATGTATTGCTGTTAAGCAGCAGAAGTGTCAGTACTAAGCAAAAAGTACTGCAAGTACCTCTTCTTGAGGGGTCATGTTGGTTTTGGTTTCTTGCTCTGTTTGCTATCAATTTTTTTTTGCTATGTATCAGGCTTTTATCCCTCAGACAGTGTTTCTGAGTTGTTAGCAGCAGAAAGCTTTTAGACAATAACCCAACCTGTGTAAGTAGAAAAGGGAAAGATGACTGTCTAGTACTTTCATTTTATGACAAGTGTATATATTCACCTCTGAGTTTTTGCATGCATATGAATGTGAAATGGATGTGTGTTCATGCTTTCAGCCTACCTACGGAAGAACCTGTCTAAGATACATGTGACTTTCACTCATGTCTAACAGCATCCTGTAAATGAATTTGAAACTCATGGGATGTTTGTTGTGAAATCTGTGGGCAGTAGAGAAAGACAAGACTGCACAGAGAGGCATTTTCACAGAATGTGTTGTGAGGATAGGTCAATACTGAGTAAAAATTCTCTCTGTATAAACATGGTAGGTATGAAGTCATTAGAAAACATTACAGTATCCCTATATCCTTGTGAAAGATTAAGGGGATCCCATATACGTTATGGAACTGTGATTGGAGCATTTGAAACCTTGCAAGATCTTTGTGAGTATGGACTCTAGATCTAGTTTCTAGTAACCTACTTGAACGTTCAGGTGTGGTTTCCATTTTAGAGGATGTAGTGTAACCTAAGTGCTTTAGACAGCAATGTATAGATGAGCAAGTGGATGTTGAGTAAGAGCATTTTGGGATAAGTGGTGTGTAGGTGAGCACTGCTTGCAGTCTGTGAGGATGGCTCACAGGAAT